CTATATACCAACGCGCACACAATAAAACAATCCACACATCACACACCACACACACACGCACACACACAGACACACACACACACACACACATACAAACTTACGGACAGTGCCATAAAGTTGGTATTACTTTCAGACGTGCAAAAAACACTGCAGTCATTTTGAGATTTTATATACGTAGCTCTGTGGTGCACGACAGATAGAAAACATCCCATATACGATCGTGTTGTTGTGCAATCTGGTGTGTTGTTTGGTGTGTTTTTAGTGTATTTTTGGTTTGTTTTTGGTGGGTGTTTTTTGGTGTCAATTTACATCTAAACCGTTGTATGTGTTAAATGCAAAAATGTGTGTGTGTGTATGCCTTTGTGTATATCTGCTTTGTGTGAACGTTTGTTTGCCTATGTTACTATGTAATAAGGTGTGTATTTTGGAATGTATTTACATTTGTGGTGTGTGGCGTGAATTTGTGTGTGTATAATGTGTGTGTGTGTGTGTGTGTATTCAGGTTTGTATGTGCATTTGTATGTGTGTAGGAATGCCGTGTGATTTTTCGTGCTTTTTGGCGTGTATGTTTGCATAGGTGATCTGTAAACGTATGTGTTTGCTTGTTTGTTTGTGTGTGTGTGCGCGCGCGCGTGTGTGTTTATTTCTCATTTAAACAACATAGAACAATATCCTTACCGTTGTATCTAAACAGGCTGATGATGAGAACGACTAAATGGATATATATCAGATACATATTTACATATTGATGCGTGTGTGGGATACTTATGATGGTGATTTCAAATATACTGTGATGTATACTGTATGTGTGTTTGTTTGTTTGCGTGTGTGATGTGTGTTTGTGTGTGTGTGTGTGTGTGGTTTGTTTTTAGATGTTTAGAAAAATTTCGGTAGTTTGTTTATCTTTTGTGTTTACGAATCCAATCATTTGTTTACACTTTTATTATTTGTTGCTGTTTTTTTCGTTTAGGTGTAATTAATTATTTCTATTCGTGATCTTTGGTAATAATTAATTAATTAAAATCATTCTCACAAAAATATTAAAACTTTTACCGTCATTTCCGCTATCTTCTGCTCTTACGAGTCCTTCTACATCTATACCTGCAATCAAACTTTCGTGAATGAACGAACACACACCACACATCTTCACCACTACGTCACGCAAGCTCTGCACCGTACACGCGTGGTGTATGATGATGGAGGCTTTGAATTTTGGACAGACAGAATTTGAACTATACATCATCATAGACATGGCACTTCTACCGACTAGCCAGGTACATAAGAAAGATATAAGACAACATATAAAAAAATAGAATGAATAATTTTAAAGGGCGACTCTAGTGGACCCCTTGTTTGTGAGGAGACCCCCAAAAAATGGAAGTTGGTTGGTTCGTCGTCGTGTGGCACAACTTTCTGCGACACTTCTTATCAGTCTTACCAGGGTCTCGATTCTCAGGCCGAAAGCTAAATTTTATTGGATACAGTTGTCTACAGCTGAAAAAACTCATTGAATTAACAATTTTTAATTCAAAATTTAACATTTAATAATTTCCAATACCTTCTTAATTTAATTTTTTAATATACACGTTTGATAAAACATATTAATAAATGTGACGTTGTAATTATTAGAACAATGGCATTCGTTACAAAGGATGCACCTAATTTTTTTGTGAAATAAAATTTTGAAGAAAAAAAACCGCCCAAAGAGCCCGCGAAAAGATTTAAAAACTTGAAACCGATCAGCTATTTGGAGAGAGCCCGCGAAAAATTATTGCAGTTTCTTTTATTATTTTAATTAAATTCGAGAATTTCAAAAGATTCTAACAAAACTTGCATTTTGAAAAAAATACCCACAAGCTGAATACTTTCATCGTTCCATAATGACATCTATTCATTCATTTACCGTTGCGAACAATTAGTAAGTATTAACAATAAGGCTAAGACTTTGTATTCATTGAAAGTCACATACATAATAATAACAATAACACCAATAATAATTATAACAACAATAATAATATAAATTATTATAACAATATTAATAATAAAATGAATTTATCGGCATATATGAAGTCACTAATGGAACAAACATCACGAATTTTAAAAGTATTATTATTACTAATACTACTGCACCTTATAATAATAACAATAATAAGTATTAATATTATTAATGTTTATTATTATTATTATTATTATTATTATGCCCATCGTCAACAATGGAAACCCACTCAACAGGATTAACGAATGATGGCTCCGGGTACTTGTACACGTCCAGGTAATCTGCATGAATGAATGAATGGATGAATGAATGAATGGATGAATGACGAATGAAAGAATGAATGAATGGATTGATGGATGGATGAATGAAAAAGCGAATGAATGCTTGAATAAACGAATGGATGAATGAATAAATGAATGAATGAATGCATAAATGAATGAATGACTTACTCTTTATTTTTTTTTTCGATTTTTCATAATTCTCTGAAACCTTAACTTTATTCTCACCTTTGATTTTATTCTTGACATTTTTGTAGCCATCAACATGTTTTATATCACCTCCATCATTATAATTACTCTTATTATTATCATTATTCCTATCATCATCATCATTATTGTTAGTATTGTTATTTTGGTTATTTTTGCTACCGTCATAAGTGACGTCATCGATGTACTTGCGATACCAAAGATCGTATTTGTATTTAAAAGAGTGGGATTTTTTTTTGCTTTCGGCTATTTGTAAATTTTCTTTTTTAATCTTTTCCTTTTTTAATTTTTCTTCTTCCGCTTTTTGCTTTAGCCATTTCTAATAAAGAAGAAATAAAAATTGAACAAATAAACGAACGAACAAACAAACAAACGAACGAACGAATGAACGAGCAAATAAATGAATGAATGGATAGATTGATGGATGTATGGATGAATGATTGATTGAATGCGCACTGTTTAAAATAGCTATGATAACAATAAAAAGAATATTAAATTGGAGAAAAACTTTTAGAAATTTAAATTTACTTTAAAATTTTCGCTAATTTCTGTTTCAGTTTTTTTGGGAACGACATTTTTTTTCGATTCATCGATTTTTCGCTTCTGCTTCGACTTCTTCAAATTCTCACTCCATACTTTACACTTTTTTGGAAAAATTTCTTCAAATAATTTCTTCTTATTCTGTTTATCGAGTTCTTTCTCTCTCTCACAGTTCTTTATTCTTTGTTCTTCTAAATTTTTTAATCTTTGTTTTTCTCTTAGTATCTTTGTTTTTCTGGCTAACCAATTTTCCCAAGTCAAATTGCTTTCATTCTCTTTTTTATTTATAATATTTTTAGTATTCAGAGCGCAGTCCGTGGATTTTGACCTTCTGCAATTAAAAAAATCAAACCAAATTGCATTAAATTAAACTTCTTTAACAAATAATCAGGGTTCTTAATAATACCCAAAAGTTGTAACGTCATTACTAATAACGGCTTTAAAACGTGCTGCCGAAACCAACACTGATACCCTTTTTTTAAAGTATTACTGACCATACCGATTCCGATACTTTTTTTATTTTTAAACGGTGTTACATGAACTTCGAACTATATCAGTTTCCCCGTAACAATGCATTAAATAGCGTAGAGCAGGGCTGGGCAAACTACGGCCCTCTAGCCGCAAATCTTTAAAAAATTCTCCCCGGGTCGAAAATATTTGCTATTTAAGTACATATGCGGCCCTTCAAAGGTAAAATAGTTTTCAATGCGGCCCTCACGGCAAAAGGGTTGCTTCTCCTAGCGTAGGGGTTAATTGATTGAATTATAAAATTTAAAGAAAGTTAAAAATATCGGCAATATCAAGTTCGACATCAGGTTAGATACTTGACATCAAATGTATCGCCGATACCGAAGCTAATACTGAAAAATTATCGAAGATACTATATCACCGATAGAGATACTGTGATATTGACAACCCTGAGAACAATTATACTGAAATAAAAATATAAAATTAGACATACTAACTCTTTCATATAGCATATTTTTCTTTTAAAATGTCGTTCGGAGCTATCTAACTTTTCAATATTATCATCGAGAAATTTATTTTCAATTAAATCAATGTCATTAAACTCGTCGTCGTCATTGTAATTATTCAAGTTATTTAGACCACTGTTAACCTTATTTGTATCATTAGCATTATTATTTGTATCTATATCATCATAACATTCGAGATATAAGCACTCCTTTTCATCATCAGTGATAATTTTGTTGTCTGTTATATTATTAAATGATAAATCACCTCTATCATCATTTATAGAATCTATGTTATCACAGTTATCGTCGTTATAATTAATGATGTTGATGATGTTATCATCATCATTTTCATTTTCAATATTCCCACTACTATGATCAACTTCTTCTTCCTTCATAATATTAACAATTCTTTTGAAATCAGCATCATAATCTTCTATAATATAAATCAATTTGTCGTCATCATCTCCATCACCTTTTATAGTATTTATCATCTTTTTATCATCATCATCATGGTCGTCATCATCATGGTCATCCGAATATTTCAATATAGATAGCAATGATAGTGTAGAAGACGACTGATTAAAACTGTTTAACGATGATAAGGATGATGATGAAAAAGATAAGATGTCATTGTCATCAAGAAGATTATTACTATTATTCATATTATTTAGTATTTTATTCGTTAAATTATTTTTGTTATTTGTATTTGTTACCTCAGTACTATTATTTAGTATCTTCTTAATCGTTGTATTATTATTATTTTTGTTATCTGTTACGTCATAATTATTATTATTATCATAATTTTTCTTCTTATTATTATTATTCCTATTAAATTGAAATTTATTACGCTTTCGCTTTGGTTTCGCCGTATTATAATATGACGTTAAATTTGGCACACTCATTTCTCTCACTAATAAATTTCTAATTTCAATATAATCACTAAATAACTTAAATAAATTTTAATTAAATACAAATAATTGAATATTTGAATTAAATAAAAAAATTATAATCCGAATCAAATAATAATCCTTTTAATGCATTTTTAACGTATAGTCAGTCACCCGAATTCTCGAAAATAAAGCATCGTTGCTAACGGCAACAGCTGATCGCCATCGGTTAAAAGTGAATTCAGATAAATAATGAATGCAACAAATTTTGTGCCACATTTTTCGTCATTTACACTTGCACACAAACACACACATACATAGACACACACATACACTCACACATATACACTCACATACTAAGACAAATATTTTGTATGTATGAATGAATGAATACATATTGTTATATGAACATCAGCATTGGCTGTCGAAATTATCCCAAATTAAATTTAAACAACGACATCTTAATATATTGTATATTAATAGATAATAAATTGAAATTTAAAATTTTTTGTGGCTGGGTGCCATTGTTTATCTTAATTTTCGCAAATTTTCTGATCGAATTTTACCTGGAAGAGTCAAATTCTTATCATAAAGTTAAGAATATCGGTGTTAAACGTTAACAAGACTGATAACGCATTGTCGAAATAATGTGACCAATCAATCGATTAATTAATTAACTAACGAATCAATTAAGGGATCAATTAATTAATAATACCAACAATTCAGTTAACAATTGTATTAATCGTTCAAAAATAGACCAGCAATTCACTACACACGCATATGTTCACACAATTGAAGAAAATATAAAAAGTTGATTGAAATAGAGTTTATAATTTACACAGATGTCATTCTTATCAAATTTTCCCATTTCACAGCGATAAACTTTTGTATAAATACAGAAAACATGCTGCTTGGTATCAAAGCCTAGTTTTTCCTGACAAAATTAAGCACATTAAAAAATGTATTTTTTGCATTTTTCTACAATGTTCGGTGAAAATTTTTCAATTTAAATTTCTAGGAGGGGGTAGCCTATCTAGAGACCTCCTGGAAGCCAAAATGGATGTGATCACAACAGGCCAATGTCACGCGACGTGGAAGGACAAAGTCACGGAGAAGCAAATTTGTCTTCTCGATTTGAAAGACCATTCCTCAGTTGCTTGCAATGTTGGCGAAATAAAATTATTCATTTAAAAATAATCACAATCGATGTTTAATTCAATGAGTAACTATTATTATCCTTGCTGTTGCCATCTTCACCATCATCGTCGTCGTCGTCATCATCATAATTATAACAATAATAATTACGTCACATTAGACAACCGATTTATCCATCGACTTGGCTAGGAATCTTTTGATTGAAGGTTCTTTAGTATTGTCCAAACTAGATTATTGCAGCTCAGTAATATTTGGCATATCCCAGATGCAAAAAAGAAAGCTGATGAATCGGGTTGCCAGAGTTGTAACAAAATATGATATCTGCATCATCAAATTTGAAAAGCCTTCACTGGCTTCCATTTCATTATCGTGCTCTGTACAAAATGGCTGTCGTTGTCTTCAAGTGCTTAACTAATTATTATATTTTTACGCCGGACGCCTCAGTCGCTCACAACGACGCTTCACAAATGACGTCATTATTATTATTATTGTTATTATTATTATTATTATCATCATTATTATTATGTAAATAATTTACAGGGAGATGAGGGTGGTCCACTAGTGTGTGAGGAGTCCCCTAAAAAGTGGAAACTGGTCGGAGTGGCCTCATGGGGCTCGTCCTACTGCAACCCCTTACGCCCATCTGTTTTAGCAGGGTCTCTGCCTACAACGAGTGGCTCGATTCTTAGGTCAATTCCTAATCTTGGCAAGCCCCTTTCACCATGTGCCCGTAATTTGGCTGGCCCTCAACTGAAAAGAATTATTTTTTAAAAATAATTCTTTAGAATTTGATATAAAGTAATTAATTCAAAACTTGAATTAATTATTTTATGAAAGTTCTATTTATTTATTGAAATTGTGGTGGAGAAAATTTTTGTCCAAATGACGATTTTGATCTTGTATGAATTTGAAATCGGAATAAATTATTTAAAGTTGTTGAACGTTTTGAATATGAGTTCGAAAATTGATTGATTGACTGATTGATAGAAAGCTTGAATGATTGGTTGGTTGGTTGATTGTTTGATCGTTTGATTGATTGGTGGAAAGAATGAAATAGATGAATGAATAGATTAATAAACGAACGAATAAATAAATAAATGAATAAACAAAACAATTGTTTAAATAATAAATTGATAATTTTTTAGTTTCAAACAACGCAATTAGTGACCAGAATACATTTCTTATCATTTTTACAGATGCCATTCTAATCAAAATTCACACCTCTTAAAGATAAAACTTCAGATAAATATAAAACTAATAAAAACATAAAATTCATTAGCTGTGATAATTCTCGAATAATTAATTATTGAAAAAAAATGAAATCAGTATACGTTGCTAACTTGTTGACAGTTTTGTTAGCCGCGGTCCAGGCAGGTCCAGAGACACGTATCATAGGAGGTGTGAAAGCCGATATGGGAGAGTGGCCCTGGCAGCTGGCGTTGTATGTTGGGGGTAGGTTCAACTGTGGTGGATCCATTGTCGCAGCCACCTGGGGCCTCACTGCGGCCCACTGTGTTGGAAGCCTTCCGTAGGATTTTATTTCGAATAATTTGACTGGGATTTTTCCAAAAACTTATTTTTAATTTTCATTTTGGTGAGGTGTGTTTGATTTAAATGGATGGCTAGCTCTGTGGTATTTTGTTTTCTAAAATTGGGACGAATGTTTTCAACTATCTGAGCAGAAGCATCTATCAGATCGTCGCCGGGACAAACACGAACAACATCAACTGCACGGCATCCAACTGCATCGTCAGGAGGCTAACAAACGCCACCAGGGTTAGCTTCGACATATTACAACAAACTTATACACCAGTGAATTAGTTAGCTCAGATGGTAGAAGTGTCATGTCTCATGCGCTGTTTTTATTATTACGCACTGACTGGGTTTGAATGTTTTGTCTGCGCGAAACTTGAACGCTTCAGTGTACGTACAAAGAAAGTTTATATACGTCGTGTGGCTAGTGTGGGTGATGCAGATGTTTCCGCTACAAACAAATAGAAAATGTAGTCTAGCTAAAATTGATTTCATAAATGATTTCATAACCGTCAAAGTATTCCAATGAAAGAAAACACAAAATTTTAAAATTTGTCAGCACCCAAATTTCACTGCGGTCGCACCGCTGGGCTACCCCAACGACGTGGCATACATGGCCTGGGAAACCCCGATAAAGGAGGGAGCGAGTGGGAACATAACGGTGAGGTACGCGAGGAGGGCCACCACGGATCATCAGGTCGGCAGGAATTGCTACATCAGCGGATGGGGAAGGCAATACGGTTGTTCTCAGTTGAATGGGAAACAATTTTAAATGTTGTGAATAAAATAGTTAAACCAATGTTAACGTCGTTTATTTAGTTTTCAAAGGTACCTACACAATTTCGGCTAACTCAAATTGTAAATTTCAATTTAATTAATTTCGGTAAAAAGAGTTTAAAATTATTTTTGTTTAAATTGTTTTTGGTAAAATTGGTAAAATTGCTTTCGGTAAAATTGGTATAACTGTTTTTGGTAAAATTGGTAAAATTGTTTTCGGTAAAATTGGTAAAATTTCAGACCAGGGTCCGGCCGCTGTCGACCTAATGGAAGCAAGGGTGGATGTTATAACGAAGGAGGAATGCAAGAAAGTGTGGAGGAACATGGTTTCTGACAGTCAGGTCTGCATCCGAGATTCCAAGAATTTCTCCACGGGACCATGCGATGTACGAACTCTTACACCGACATTTCTTGTACAAATTTTAAAATATTATCATTTAAATTTTGAATTTAACCGATACAAATTCGATAAAATCTGGACTACATGTTGGTTTATATTATTCTTTTTCATTTTTTTCATTTTTTTTTTCATTTCTTTTTCATTTTTTAAAAGGGTGATTCCGGTGGGCCGTTGGTCTGCGAAGTTTCTCCAAAAAATTGGGAGTTAGTAGGAGCCAGTTCGTGGGGGGTGGCCAGGTGCAACACCTCCTACCCAGCCGTTTATACGAGGATTTCATCGTTCAATAGTTGGCTCGATAGTCAGGCAAGACCCAAACAATGATGACGTTGATGAAGAAGATTCAAGAAATTTAATTTAGAATTTAAATTTATTTTGTGATGTTCTTGTTTGGAATGAATAAAAAATGGCGAGCACTTGGAGTTTTTATTAAGTGTTTATACATTTTTAAACTTAGGAATTTGATTGCTACATGAATCTTTTAACAAACGATCACTATATCAACATTACATTACAAGAAACCAAGCTGTAGTGTGTGTTCAGTAATACATAAATTACAAACCGCTCGCTTGGTTCATGACACGGGGTTCTGAAACATTCAAGTAGCCCCACATCTCAAAAAGCGTGTTTGACCGACGCGTCAACAACTACCAAATTTAAGAGCATCCTTAAAAAATTTTGAGTTCGGCCTCCCTTTCAAATCATAACATCATAACATCACCTTAATCATCATACTATCCACTAAAATTTTCATCAAAATTAGCATTACCTAAATTTAAAATGTACCTAAATCTCAAATCACATTTAATTATAATCAAATCAATGCAACTAACTCAACAAACATCTCAACTATATTTAATTTTACTACATAATTCAAAACACAATTAACTTCCCCTCTATACCTCTATAGACTACAATGTACTTTTCCGCCAACTAGAAGGTCATTACATTTGTCTACCATCATTTTCATGGAATAGTTCTCCAAATATTTATCATAGTGATAACAAATTGATAATGTGTAACAATGAGAATTGTAAATTAATGAACCCGATAATGAGTTCATTGTTCACACAGATGAAAATAGAACATCTTCACGACATAAGTTAATGCTCCCATGCAATCTTGAATGGCAATTGAAATAAATGAGTTCCTTATCATTTTTACAGATGTTGTTTTTATCTGAATTCTCAGGTTCCTTGTGATAAAAATTTGTATAAATAGGTAAAAAATTTCCGAGTGATTTCAAGCTGAATTTTCTGTAGAAAGTTAAGCATCACAATGAATTCTATGATATTTCTAAGTGGGTTGGTGGTTTTGTTGGCAGCGGTTCATGCCAGACCCGAGTCACGGATCGTCGATGGGGTGAAAGCTGATAAAGGGGAATGGCCTTGGCAGCTAGCGTTGTACGTTGGGACGAGGTTCAACTGCGGGGGTTCGATTGTGGCATCTACCTGGGGAGTCACAGCTGCCCACTGCGTTGGATCAGCCCCGTATGATTTTTTGCCATTCGTTTGTTTATGTTACTCGCTGATTGTATTCGTTATTATAATTTTAAATAAAATCTAGTTCAGTTTCAGATGAAGATATTTTTTTTATAAATTCATTTTAGGAATTCCTATCAGATTCTTGCTGGGACGAACATAAATAAAATCAGCTGTGGGGCAACTGATTGTGTCATCAGACAACTCATCAACGCCACTAGGGTAAACCAAACCTTATTAAACCTTATTGAATCTCATTGAACCTTATTATACAACGTTAAACAACATTAAACAGAATTAAACCTTGACAATCGAAATATTAAACATTATTAAATTTGAAAATGTCATTTAAATATTTGACCCACTGGTAAACAACGCATTCAACTGAAATATTCCCTAGCATCCGAACTACACTGGGATTGGATTTTTGGGCTTCCCGAACGACATAGCTTACATGGCCTGGCAGACGCCAATAGCCGAAGTTAGCGGCAACATAAACGTGAAGTACGTAAAGAGGGCCACCACAGACAACCAGATCGGCAAGAACTGCTACGTAACCGGCTGGGGAAGAATGTACGGTAAGTGGGGGGGGGGGGGTGATTCAATCCTGAGTAGAAACTTCTTGGCAAGAAACTAACTCCGATATTTATCACCTGAGATGAATATGTATCAGATCAAAACAATTAAGTGTCACATAATTTATTAATAATTATTAATTAATAAATAATAATAATAATTTCATCCTAAAAAATTACTTGTTTGAAAACTTCCACAGGCGGCGGGCCATTGCCAACTGATCTCTACGAGGCTAAGGTGGATGTGATATCGAGAGATCAATGCAGAAAAATTTGGGGTGAAAAAGTTTCGGACAAACACGTCTGCATTCATGATTTGAAGGATTTCTCGTCTGGTTCATGCAATGTTAGATTTCAAATGATATTTTTTTCAACTCATTCAGAAATATCGAGATTGTCTTAAAAATCCTTTCAAAAAATTTGAAATATATAAACTTTAAACATACAAATCGCTATCCATAGACGTTAATAATAATTGCCAAATTTAAAATTTAACACGTTTCTCTCAACATACACGTGCATATCTAACACTCATTTCGCTAAACAAATACTTTAAAATAAAAGTACCCTACCTATACTTGGATCCCTCATGCTCTTAAATTTTAACTAATTTAATTTTATCACATAATTTCAATTGATTGATTGATTAATTATTTAATTGAATGATTAATTAATTAATTAATTTATCAAGGGCGATTCTGGAGGACCTTTGGTTTGCGAAGTCTCTCCAAAATCCTGGGAATTAGTGGGAGCGACTTCGTGGGGAGCTGCCGGATGCAACACTTCCTATCCGTCCGTTTACACGAGGATCTCAGCGTACAACAGCTGGCTAGATACTCAAGCTAAACCCAAATTTTGATGAAAGAACCAAACTTGATGATTAATTAATAGATTAACATATTTTGTTTGAGCAATTTGGGAAAAAGTTATAACGATTTAATTAAATTTCAGTTTTAAATTAATTATGTTAGTTAGATGAAATAAATTTCTTATCCGCATCAAATAGTGTTTGAATTTTGTTGAAAATGCTAAAGATTGGTCTCAAACAAGTAAAAAGTAAAAAACGCATTTCGTTTGATGAACTTTAAAAAACGATTTTTAGAAATAATTAATTATCTAATTGAGTAATTAGAAATGATAAACAAAATACAAACGAATTAGAACTTGAGTTTTTTTTCATCTTCGTGTTCTTCTTCTGTTTCTAATGTTGTCAACCCACAAACTTTTAATCTGTCTTCATATGGCATACCGCGACACTCCTTCATCATTCTCGTTGCCCTCCTTTGAATATTCTCGAGCATATGTTCGTTCTTTTGTAAATCTGGATTCCAAAGCCGAACGCAGTACTCCAACTTAGGTCGAGCCAATGCTTTATAGAGGTTTAATATGACGATCACATCTCTGCTTTTTACTGTTCTTTTCATCATACCCAGAGTTCTGTTTGCACTTTTAGCTGCCTCGATGCATTGACACCCTACCTTACCATTCCGATGAATTCTCACCCCTAGATCCTTTTCCTTCTCTAAATTTTTCAATGGCGTGTCTCCAAGTTTGAAGACGTTTGCCTTGCTGTTTGCTTCAATATGTATGACTGCACATTTGTTTGTGTTCCATCTGCCAATCCTCTGCCCACTTGCATATTTTTGCAAATCTCATGCTAGAATTTCAATATCTTCATCGTTGTCTACAACAGCACATAATTTAGTGTCATTCATAAATTTTGAAGTTCTGAAGATATTGATTTATTGCTAAATCAATATCATTGATTTAATTACAAATAGCAACGGTTTTAATACGGACCCTTGAGGAACCCCACTTGTAACAATGCTCCAGTTTGAGAAACTTTCTCCAACACCAACTTGTTGCCGCCTATCTTGTCACCAGTTAGAAATCCACTTGAGTGTGTTTCCTGTGATTCCACTCGCCTCTAATTTTGAGGCCAAACGTTTATGCGGTACCTTATCAAAAGTCTTAGCAAAATTTAAGTACACAATATCCACTGCTTTCTTTCTGTCAAACTTTTCTAAAACCTCTTCAAAAAAGTCAAGCAAATTTTTTAGGCACGAAACCTTATCCATAAATCCGTGTTAGTTCTTGCATATGATATAGTAAATTTCAATTGGATGGGAGTATTAACATAAGTCGTGAAGATGTAAAATAATTTCATGTGGTTCATAACTATGGCAAAGATTGGTCTCTATCGAGTAAAAATACATATCTTTTGATAAGTTTATAAAACGATTTGAGAATTAATTAACTAACAATGAATGACAAAATTCACATAAATGAGAGGTAGAATATTTTTTTTGTCTCCTTACTCAACATCAAAAAACGCAAAATTCACCGTTGGCACGGGATAGATAATTTCAATAAAAATGAATGTTGACAACAACAACAACAAAAATTATTCACACACACAAACTGAGTCATTTGAAGAAGTGTTCAAAGCCGAAAATGAACATTACATATGTTCAAAAAATTTGAAATTAAATTTACCAAAATGGTTGGAAGATATTAAAAAGTGAGTAACGAACTCAGTGAACAACAAAAATATTAACTCGTTAATTGGAATGTCATTCAAATTATTCTAACGTAACCAGCAATTCTAAACAATGCTATTTAGTCATTTGAATACATTTAGAATTAATTTTATTCATGAAAATTGAAATTATTTCACATCTTCCCGACTTATGTTGTTACTCTCATCCAATTGAAACTTGCCAACTTGAATGACGACTGGCCTCAATGGGTTTCTTATCATTTACACAGATGTTGTTTTTATCAAAATTCTCAGTTTAATTGTATAAAAATTTGTATATTTAAAAAAACTATTTTTAAACAATTTACAAAAAGATTTAAATAGATGAACAAATCTCTTAGGTTTAATAGATTTAAACAGATGAACAAATCTTTTAGAGATTTACAAACTAAATTTCGTCTGACGAGCATCAATATAAATTCAATGATAGTCGTCAATGTGTACCTGGTGGCTTGTGTGGCTGCCGTCCATGCAGCCCCAGAGACCCGAATCGTGGATGGAGTGAAAGCTGACAAGGGTGAGTGGCCTTGGCAGCTGGCGTTGTACATTGGGACCCTATTCAACTGTGGTGGGTCAATTTTGGGGCCAACGTGGGGGGTGACTGCAGCCTACTGTGTTGGAGGAGCCCCGTACGATCATCTTGTCATTCGTTTGTTATATGCAAACTCTACTCACGATTTGACTTTCCGCTTCAAATCAAAATATCAAAATTGATTTTTTTCTGATTTTTACTACACAGGAATTCATACCAAATGATTGCAGGGACGAACTTAAACAGAATTAGCTGCGGACCATCTGAATGCTTCATTAGAGTTCTCGCCAATGCCACAAGGGTAAACAAAATACAGAGATTAAATGAAACACTCCTAAGCATGATTAAACCTGAAAGTTTCAACTAAATTTTAAATGCATTTTACCAAAATTCTTTAAAGCACCCGAATTACACGGCCATTGGACAGCGAGGTCACCCGAACGACCTAGCATACATCGCCTGGGAATCACCGATACCTGAATTCAGTGGTGACGTGAATGTGAAGTATGCCATGAGGGCCACCACTGACGACCAGATCGGCAAGAACTGCTACGTCACCGGCTGGGGCCGACTGTCCGGTTGGTATTCTGCTGCTAGATATTTATTTGGCAAGAAGCTGGTGAAGTTATTTAGACTGAGATGCGTGAAATAAAAATTATAAAACAACACGTAAATCATTTTTAATGTCGTCTTAATGAAATTACCTTATTGCTTTAAAATTTTTACAGGTTACGGGCCATTGCCAATTGACCTTTACGAAGCAAAGGTGGGTGTGATTTCGAAGGAGCAGTGCAGGAAATATTGGGGTGATAAAGTTTCAGACAGTCAAATATGCGTTCAGGATTTGAAAGACTTCACGTCTGGCCCATGCACCGTAAGACTTTAAGCTTCTTAGATACACGCGCATACTTTCACTTTCAACTCAACGAGTGCAAAAAAGCTTTTGGATTTTAACAAACTTAACTTTGTGACATAATTTTAATTAGAAAAGTAATTAATTTGATCGTTTAGAGTGATAATGGAGGACCCTTGGTTTGCGAAGTTGCACCGAAAATTTGGGAATTAGTTGGAGTAGCCTCATGGGGGGCTGCAAAATGCAACGCTTCCTACCCATTTGTTTATACCAGAATGACGTCATTCAATAACTGGCTCGATGGTCAGGTTAAACCGAAATATTAATGAAGGAACCAAACCTAAAGATTAATAAATAAAACTTGTTTGTTTGAATGTCTTTAAAAATTATGACGATTCAACTGTATTCAAGTTTTAAATTAATTGTATTTTCTAAACGAAATAAATACGTATTATACAGTAAATATGTGTCTTGCATGTTATGCAGCTCTGTAGAAAGTTATACGACGGGATTTCTTGCAGTAGTACTAGACAACGAATTAAAATTCACGTACGACTTCTCAGACATCGCTAGAAAATTGCTTTAAAAGCCATTGACATTTCGAATAAACCTCATCGCGTTTAGACCAGAAATTGTCTAAATACAATTTACAAATTGCTCTGTGCAATTAATCCATGCCGCCCATCAGCTGTTAAAAGTAGTAATAGTTGTAGTAGTAGTAATTGTTGTTGTAATAGTAGTAGTAGTCGTTGTAGTAGTAGTAGTAGTAGTAGTAGTAGTAATAGTAGTAGTAGTAGTAGTAATAGTATAGGTAGTAGTAGTAACAATATAAGTAGTAGTAGTAGTAGTGGTGGTGGTAGTAGTAGTAGTAGTAGTAGTAGTAGTAGTAGTAGTAGTAGTAGTAGTAGTAGTAGTAGTAGTAGTAGCAGTAGTAGTAGTATTAGTAGTAGTAGCAGCAGTAATAGTAGTAACTACAGCAGTAATCGTTAGTAATCTTAGTAATGTTGAGTCATGCGGGATGCGATGAT